TTGTGGAGCCCTTAGACTTGCAAATGCGGCGCCGCCGCGCTGCAGCACCGGCCGCGGCCAGACTGACTCTCTGTCTCTCTCGCACTCATGGCGCGTCCCGTGAGGTGCGAGAGAGACAGAGCGACGAAAGGGGGCCCTCGGAATCAGTCTGCAGGGATGGAAGCTGTCCCCGCAAGAAACTGTATGGCTCCGTGGCCCCGCCGCGACCCCCCGCGGGGCCCAGTGGAGGGCCAGCATCGCGCCTACACTGCAAGCCGGACGGGGAATCCGTTGGTGGGGTCACGCGTTCGGTTCGAGTCCTGCTTGGCGACTCTGGAGCTCAAAACGCGTCTGGAGTTTCAGCCGCCGGCGCCGGTCTCCTGGCAGATCCACTGTGGGTCCGCGGCCCCTTGACGTCGTTACGGGCGGAGAGCCCTCGGCGCGGCCCTCGGCATCCAGGCCAAGCACCTGCCTAAGGGCTGTGTTCCGGTGGCTGAGGGCGCGGAGCCTGGGGCAGGCCGAGCCGATAACACCTTGGGGGCGCGGGGGCGCGAGGGGGGCGTGGCGTCGCCTGCAGAGGCGTTCGCCGAGCGTCTCTTGTTCGAGCAAAGTGCAACGCCGTGGCGCGCCGTGGCGCCTTCAAACGCACCGATAAGCCGAACAGAGATAAGGGCCCGCATCAGTGCTATCTCCCTGACGCGCCTGTCTGTCTGTCTGTCTGTCTGTCTGTCTGTCTGTCTGTCTGTCTGTCTGTCTGTCTGTCTGTCTGTCTGTGCAAGCGTTTGTATTCTTACGGCTAGAATGTCGCCATGACTTTTCCCAACCACTTCCACCGCGTCACCGCACGACTTGTGGTCTGAGCGAAAATGTGTGTGTGTGTGTGTGTGTGGTGTGTGTGTGTGTGTGTGTGTTTCGTCCCCGCGTGTGTGCGCACACACGACAAACCGGAGGGAAGGTATACGTCGGCCAACCGCAAACACCGCGTGCCAGAGAAAAGTTACAGTGGCGAGGCAAGGGGGGAGTGTGGACGGCAGCGGTTATGGGATCGTGTGATGGCGTGATGGATGGGAGCAAGCCGGGTGTAGGAGTGAGTGTGGGGAGACGGTGAGGGGGAGGGAGAGGGAAGTGCGTGGGAAGTGTAGACGAGACGAAACTCAAAAACGACGTGAAGCAAAAAGAAAAGCGGAGGGGATGAGAGGGAGAGAGAGAGGGGGGAGGGGGTAGTCACGCTCTCTCGCACAGCGCGTTGCCTCAGGGCGCTCGGGCGCATAACGCCACGCCCTTGTCCACTGCGAATGGCAGGCTGATTAAAATGAGCCATGAGGTGGCACAGCGGCAACTAGCGTTCCAAATTGCGGAATTTCAGACGGACAGACCAACTGACAGACACAGGCAGATAAATAGATAGACAGACAGATAGACAGACAGGCAGAGGAGGGTAGCATTCGGTTTTACGAGTGGCGCCCCAGTGCCCCAGTGCGTGCCCCAGTGCATGAGCCATGAGCCCCGAAGTCTGTGCCTCCGAGTCTGAGCCTCCGAGTCTGAGCACAGCACTCCAATTCCCTTTGTGGCTGGAGCGGCGCCACTGCAGGGTTGCCATTCAGGTTGGACTCCATCACGACAAAGGGGAAAATAATAATGATAAAGAAACCGGATGTCAGAGGGAAGAGAGGCAAACCACTGGCTGTGCCTGCCCCGAAGCCGCGAGTCCATTAGTATCAAGCAGAGGTCTGTCCCCAGAAAGGAAACAGCTTCAAATCATTTTCTGACTTTGGGTTTTGGTTCACGATCGCCCCCACCCATAGATTGCTCTCCACATGAGGATCCATTGGTGGGGTCACACGTTCGGTTCGAGTCCTGTTTAGCGACTCTGGAGCTCAAAACGCGTCTAGAGTTTCGGCCGCCTCCACCGGTCCTCTGGCTCTCTCTGCGTAGCCAGTCGCCACACTCAGGCATGTCGGCCGCTGCCTCATTGGCACCGGGGACATGGCCGGGTTGTAGATCCAGGTGGTGGCGTGGCGTTGTGGTGCGGGACATGTTGGTAAACGTGGAGGGGGGAGGGGGAGGGGTTGGGGGAGGAATTGGGGTGATGACATGGCCCGTCCAAACCGGGCGCGCGAACCCCGCATACAAATGACAGCCAGGTGCGTCTCTCTCTCTCTCTCTCTCTCTCTCTCTCTCTCTCTCTCTCTCTCTCTCCTGTCTCACACACAATAGGAAACCGCAGGGTACTCGCATTGTTTTCCGACGCGATTCGACAGGTGCTTTCACAGCCGAGTCCACGGCAGGGCATCATCAGCACGGTGGCCGAGTGTTGAGCTCCGTCGCAAAACAGGACTCGAACCGAGCGTGTGACCCCACCAATGGATTCCTCGTTCGGAGAGCAATCCATTGGTGGGGTCACACGCTCGGTTCGAGTCCCATTTAGCGACTCTGGAGCTCAAAACGCGTCTGGAGTTTGGCCGCCTCCGCGTTTAGAAACACACCCCTGACAGAGGGAGCGTGCAGCCAGGCTCCGAGACGCCGAGCCTGCACCGGTAAATTCGGCCCTGCTTTCAGGATGGGGGAAAAAGGCCGGCACGCTTTCTGAATAATTCCCGAAGCCCCACCCCAGAGCCCTGCCGGCCAAGAGTCGCCGCTCCGTCTCTGTCCCACTCACGGGGCTCTCCGTAAGGTGCGAGAGAGACAGAGCGAGGAAGCGTCTTTTGAACCGCTCGGCTGGCAGCAAGCTACGGTAAGGCAAGGCCTAGGCCCGGCACAGCTCCCCCGTGTCCGTTTGATCTCGGCGCTTAAGCCATCAAACGCCCTTTCCGATCGGACGGCGTTACCCCCGCCTTCCCCCTTATCCGTTTAGAAGTTCGTGATTTCGCAGTGGCGGCCCGGCGGCCCGGTCGCCGATCTGCCTTTGGGGCTATCGAGGTATCGATACCATCTGCCGATAACGTCTGTCTGTCTGCCTGTCTGTCTGTCCGCCTGTCTGTCCGTCCGTCTGTTTACAGTGCCGCGGCGATACGCAGTGCGCTGTGCCCCGGGGGGTTGCCTACCCTGCGAGGTGTGAAAAGGGTGGGAAGGCGTCAGCTTGCACCGCCTCAGGGCAAATCGATAGGGACTCTGTGTGTGTGTGTGTGTGCGTTTGCGGGTCAGTGCGTGCCTCTCTCTCTCTCTCTCTCTCTCTCTCTCTCTCTCTCTCTCTCTCTCTCTCTGTGTGTGTGTGTGTGTGTGAGTGAGTGAGTGCAAGAATAGTTGCCAGCAGCTGGCTGGCATGCAGCTTCACTTGCCCAGCCATCACGCTGCAGCGACCGGAGGCTGGGAAATCGTGTGCCATGTGTCATGCGACCCGCGGGCTGGATTTCTCATAGCAAGTTCGAGTCCCGCTTGAGCGAAGATCACAGGGCGAGCCGCATAGAGTCCGTCCAGACTCCGCCGTGGCTGTGCGTGCGAGAGAGACAGCGTGGGCGCGCGTAGGATGAGAGAGCTATCCTCAAGGCAGTGCTGGGCCGGGCGGTGCTCCATGGTGGCCATGGCGCCGCGGCCAAGGTCAGTGCCGAACTAAACAAAACACACGTCATCTTTGGTCGGGAGAGGGAGAGGGAGAGGGAGAGAGAGGAGAGAGAGAGAGAGAGAGAGAGAGAGAGAGAGAGAGAGAGAGAGAGAGAGAGAGAGAGAGACCAAGTGACTCGGTTTCGCGGTGAGCTGGCCCAGGTACAGTATACACTGCCCAGGGCCACAAGCCACAGGCCACAGGCGCGGCGTTCATTTTCTTTCATTTTGCCGTCTGGGACGCCAAAGGCCGCAGCAAGGACGTTGCGAACCAAGCAGAGTCGACATTCGATCCCGCCTTTTTTGGGAGCGTCGGCGAGGCTGCATGGCGGCATCCTTCTCGCTCGCTCCCAATCTCTTTTCTCGGCCGTTGTACGCGTCATTAAGACTGCAGTTTCGCTGGCCGGCCGGCAGGCCCCCGTCTGACGGTCTGGTTCTCTGGTTCGCGCGGCGAGGCGCTAAGCACCAGTCCGAGGACGTTAAACACTGCCATTTTTCCGCCGCCCGACAGTGGGCCAGAAGGCCGGTGGCGGCGACTCCAGACGCGTTTTGAGCTCCAGAGTCGCTACACGGGACTCGAACCGAACGTGTGACCCCACCAATGGGTTGCTCTCCGAACGAGGAATCCATTGGTGGGGTCACACGTTCGGTTCGAGTGCCGTTTAGCGACTCTGGAGCTCAAAACGCGTCTGGAGTTTTGGCCGCCTCCACCGGTCTAGCGGGAACCAGAAATGAATCCACCGCCGGCGCGGCGGCATGCGCCACAGGTTTCAACTACTTTCGGAAACGGAACCGTGTTTGACAAGTACTTCAGATTGCTCCACCGTCGGCCGACTGACTGTACGGCGTTGTACAGTAGTGCCGAGTAGTACACTGTACTCGTGGAATTATACTGCACGTCCTCTGTACTTTGCGCTCCTGTATAACTAATAAATATTTTTTTCATAAATTCTGTCTATTTGTCATTGAAGCTAGCAGTGGTAGTGCTCACAAAAAGTTGGTAAAAATGGACAGTGTTTGAAAAAAATTGACGAACAAAGAGTTAAAAGAGAATTAATCCAGAACAGGCTTTCCACCTGGTCCAGTTCCTCCAGGACCTCCAGGTCCTCCAGAATGGTCCAGAAGCACGTGATTAATGAGGCAAACGCCGCAGGACTTCCCCAACTTCGCGGCCTGCCCGGAATACATTGAGAGGGCCCTCCCCAGATTTGGGCCAGAAGACCGGTGGAGGCGGCCAGAACTCTAGACGCGTTTTGAGCTCCAGAGTCGCTAAATGGTACTCGAACCGAACGTGTGACCCCACCGATGGCTTGCTCTCCGAACGAGGAATCCACTGGTGGGGTCACACGTTCGGTTCCGGTCACATTAAGCGACTCTGGAGCTTAAGACTCGTCTATAGTTTTGGTCACCTCCGGTCTTCTGGCCCACTGTGGAGTGGCAGCGCGTCTCCCTGGAATTCCAGTCGTTTTCCAGGAGCGTACCTCGCTTCTCCAGGTGTCCGTCGTCCATGGCCGGTTCATGACCTGCAGCTCCTCACGGCCCGCGCTTGCCTCTGCTGGTCTCGATGGCAGCCTCCATGGCAGCGGTCCTGCTCCACTCGCGCCGACTGGACGATGCCACTGGCGGTGTCTTGAGGAGGTCCCCGCCGCTGGGTCATCCCGCTGAGGCACTGCGAGACTGGGGCATCGAACTAGGACTCGCCGAGCGGCGTGGGCGCTTCGACCTCCGCGCGAACTTCAAAAGACAGCAGGCAGGTTCGAGGAGACATGGGAACACCGGGAACGCGAAGTGGCGCGAAAACTTGGCGAGGCGACGACGAGGAGCGGTTTGGCGGGAACGCACTGTGTTGACATGCAGCGCCACCACGGGGATTTTGAGGTTATGTCGTCGGCACTTGCTCGTCGCGACTAGTCCAGGCTAGTCACAGCCGCCGGCCGGGCCGTCACGGCGTTGCGGACGGATGGGTTGCGTTGTCACGCCGGTGTGACGACGGTGTCACGTGACAGCGTGCGTGGGGGCTGGCGAGGGTCTCGGACACACGGCCGTGACGGGGAGCGGCGTCGCGTCGACGGGGCCCTCTGCTCCGCCTGGCGGCCAGGCTTGCACTGCCCCTGCCCCTCCTGGGCCCTCCTTGCACTGCCAGTGGGGCCTGGTGGGGCCCGGCCCGGCGGCCACGCGGGCGGCGGCCTTCCCCGCCCCCACCGCCCCTACCCCCACGGCCCCACCAGTAAAACCCCGACCCGCCTCAGTCGGCGTCCTTGTCGCTCGGGCCGAAGGGCGGCGATACCCCGCGCAGGGCTTTCCCTTCGCGGCCGAGCAGTGCTGCCCTCTAGCGGCGATACCCCACGCCCTCCGGCCCGCAGCCCGCACGGGGTATCGCCGACCGGGGGGAACGCTGCCAACATTGGAGCTGCAGCGAAATGACGAACAGTCGCAGGTTTCTCCCGCCTCGGTTCAAAAGCCTTATCAAATACCACATCGCTTTTATCCCTATCAATCTCTTCTCCAGCAACTCAGGAATAAATTTAACCTCATGCTGATTTTTTTGAAGGTGCTAATCTGAAGGTTGGCTAGTAGGTGGACGGAGAGGTAAGAGAGAGAAAGAGAGAGAATCAAAACAACAATGGCAGCGTCTAGGGAAATACTCACGCTGCAGCTAGGACACTATTCCAATTTTGTTGGCAGTCACTGGTGGAATATTCAGGTGAAAAATTTATTTCCCGACTCTGGAATTTTATGTTCTTTTGAATTATATTTTTAAACTACATCTTTGTATTGTGTGACATAACCTGCGCTCGCAACCATCAATTTCAAACTTCATGCTTTTCTCATGTTTTCTAACAGGAAGCAGGGTTTTCTTATTCGGGCAAACCTTCAGACGTCGACCATGACATTCTCTTTAGGGAAGGCATTAATTTTAAGGTGAGCACTCAAGATGCATGTACTCACAGAAAACGGTGTGGAGTCCTTTGATTTTCTATATTTTTACTTATTGTAGCATAGACAGAAAGATTAATCTTTGTTTACGTTTTGTTCACAGAATGAAGTGACTTTCACCCCTCGACTTCTTCTTGTGGATTTGAAAGGAAGTCTGCAGCATTTACGAATCGAGGGAGAGCTCTATGATGTTCCCGCTCCTGACGTTAATGAAGCTCCATGGCCCGCAGAGAAGGTTCAAGTTGAAGTAGCCCCAGAACAACCGGAAAAAAATGAGTTTCTCAGGGACATCGAAGCAGGAAGTTCCAGTTCAGCAGCAGGTAAAATTCAATTGGGTTCCTCTTAACATTTTTACTCTTTTGGACCTATGTGCTGTGTAATTTTAACTTCAAAATTGGAATTTTTCAGGAGGAGATACAGGTGGTCCTGTTCCAACTAAAGTGTACAACTTAGAAAACGACATAAAGACCTGGTCAGACTTTTTAGTGTCAAGGTTCCACCCTCGCACAGTCCTAGTCAGCAATGAGTATCAGCACAACTCATCAGAGCAGCCGTTTGACATCTACAATTATGGAGTCTCTCTATTTAAAAATCCTGACTTCGAAGAGGATCTCACTGATCGCATTCGCAACTACATTGAAGAATGCAATAATGCTCAGGTATGCTGGTTTCTTAATAGACGAACATACTTAAGAATGTGGTCATATTTTTATTAATGTATAAATTTGTTTTTCAGGGGTTTCATTTACTCTTTGATGGTACCGATGGCTTTGGTGGGGTTGCCAGCAGCCTGGCGGAGCATTTGGCCGATGAATACCACAACAAAAGCGTTCTGGCTCTGCCTCTTATCTCTCCTATTGGAGACATCACCCCTATCCAAGAATGTGTGCGAACAATGAATTTTGCTCTGTGTATGCAGAAGGTTGCAGAATCAGTGTCACTATCTGTTCCTCTCGGCTTGGACAGCCTGAACTGGAGAGCTGCTGGCCCACCCAGAGTATTCCCTCACTTGGATTACAATGTAAGTTCAACAGCTGACTAACAGTTGAGTAGTTAGCATTGAAGTTAATCCTCAAGTTAACCTGTGTCCTATGTTTTGCAGTCTAATTTACCTTACCATACCAGCGCCATTCTGGCTGCAGCCATCGATACTTTTTCCTTACGTTATCGCCTGAGAAGCGGTACTGAGAGATTGTCAGATTTAGTTGACCCGATGCGCCGCCATGGCCGCAGTGTAGCATGTTGCTCTGTGGGCCTTCCGTTTGGAATCAGGGAAGGAGACAACCTTTTGAATACCCTGGAGAAATGGGAGGGTCCCTTCTGGACTTCTATCACACCGCACTGTAATCCAGACATGGAAGACATCAACCAACGAATCTGGATGCAATCTGTAGTTTTGAGAGGAATTCCGCAGTCACGACTCAGGTAATTTCTTTGCCTTGTCTTGTTTTCCACTGTACAGTGGGTTTAGCATGGAGTACTAATTTATTTATTTCCCTCTCCTTTTGATGGGTTCAGAGGAGTCCTGTCACCTGAATCCAATGCAAATCCAGAATTGTCTTGCAACAGCGCCACAGAGCTTTTGCAGGCTTACCTCACTTTCACAACAAATGGCACCTATTCCCATGTCACATCTTGTGAAGCTCCGTGCAAAGTCAAGCCTCCGTTCCCTCGCATATTTAAGGAATCTGTTGCTCTCAATGGAGATATTTTAAGCCATGGCAGCAGATCCAACCTGTTAAGTAAGTGTTTACCTGGATTGTTTCATTTTAATAAAAAATCAAGTGCCTTGAATAGCTCTTCAACTACTCAGTCAATTCAAGGCAAGCTTTTAAATTACCATATATTACCAAACTTTTTTACAGATATGAATGAAACACCGGTGGTGTCAAGTATCACTAGTTGTGACTCTGTTAAGGATATGCTGCGTTCACTCCACACCGAAACAGCAAGACTCAACATAAGACGTTTTCCTGCATATGCCAAAGCTGGTCTTGAAGTAGATGAATTTGAAGAAAATATGGAGAGCTTATATGCACTTTCAGAAAACTATGAAGAAAAATATGAGTTATGAAGATGATGTTTAAAACCAATGGTGCTTTGCCACAAATCTAGAATGTATTATTGTTTTCTAAAGGATGATTATGAAATAATTCTACACAGATTCATTTATCTACATATTTTTGTGTAGCAAACACCTCACTGATTTTGCTAATGAAACCTCAACTCTTGAGAATGTGCCTTTCATAAGACTTAATATTGTTTTAATGAGAGCTGTGATATTAGAGAAACATTTTGCATTGAATTAAATAATAGGGTTATGTTAAATGAGATTCAAAATATTTTTCTAATTTTTCAACAACAGGTGTGCTAATTTTATAACGTGTTTTATATGTCTTTTGACAAAACCAACAGCAACTTTGTTAAAATAAATTGGTTTTGTCTATTTTATCATGAATCATTGTACTCCAAACTAGTCCAAATCCAAAAAAACACGCGGGGTTCAAACACAAACTGTCTCAGAACCCACAGCCTGCAAGTTGGGCAAGAGCAAGGCATGGACGCGCAATCGGCTGCCTACACGCAAGGCGCTACCCCTCGCGCCAGAGACTGCATGGCTCTGGGCGTGGGGTATTGACAGCGTCGTTTGCTGGAATTCGCGAAGGTCTTTAACACAAGACCAGTGACGTGTTTGATTCGGGGCTAAAACCCATCAACCGAACTTGTGACCCCACCGATGGATTCCTCGTTCGGAGAGCAATCCATTGGTGGGGTCACACGTTCGGTTCGAGTCCTGCTTAGCGACTCTGGAGCTCAAAACGCGTCTAGAGTTTCGGCCACTGCGCGGTGGCGATCGTGGTCCTGATTGGACACCCTGCTCCGCCGCTGGAGTCCTGCGGGTTCGTTTCGTTCCAGCGTCCCGGCCGGGCAGCCCATTTTCCTAAATGTTTCCTACCCCACTCGAGTGGCGGGGCCGCGGGGCCGCGAGCGAGAGGGCCCTTCCCTTCCGCCTTTCAAAAAGGGCGCGCTGCCGGCGCTGCCCGCGGGCCGCCTCCGAGACGGTGGGGCCTCCGCCAGCGGTGTGCGCGGGTAGAGGCGGGCGAGCGCCGCGATTCCAACGCCGCCAATCAGGGTCGAGCCGGCCGAGCCGGAGACACAATGCTCCAGTGCCTTTCCAGCCTTTCCAGTGGCGGCGCGGCGGGCACGCCGGGCACGCCCACAAAGGCGCAAATTGCTCGGATTGTTGTGCAGGAGGAAAGAGTGATGCCTTTTAAATCGATACGGCTCTGTGGGGCGCTGCGCGGCGCTGCGGCTGCGGGGCTGCGCCGCCTGGGGACTCATTCCGAGGGTCGGCCTCGTCGCTCTGTCTCTCTCGCACCCGTGCGAGACGCCGCGCGAGTGCGAGAGAGACAGAGGCTCTCGGAATCAGTCCGCTGCCCCGGCATGAAGACTGCATCCGGCCCGAGGGAGGGCCACAATGCCGCCAGCCGCAGCAGCCAGCCAGCACACTGATTCCGAGAGCCGTTTTCGTGGCCCTGTCTCTCTCGCACCTCCGCGGGACGCCCCGAGAGTGCGAGAGAGACAGAGCGACGAAAACGACTCTCGCCTGCAGGCAGCCAGCAGGCAGTCTCGTTAGGGCCTGCAGCAGCCAGGGAGACAATCGGCACACTGCTTCATTTCACCATTTCAGCATCCCACCGCCCGCCATCCGACCGGGATTGTGGCGCCGCACAGTGGGCCAGAAGACCGGTGGGGGCGGACAAAATCTCGGACGCGTTTTGAGCGTCAGAGTCGCTACACGGGACTCGAACCGAACGTGTGACCCCACCAATGGACTGCTCTCCGAACGAGGAATCCATTGGTGGGGTCACACGTTCGGTTCGAGTCCTGTTTAGCGACTCTGGAGCTCAAAACGCGTCCAGAGTTTGGGCGCTAAAGAACGAGCACGGCGCGGCACGGCGTGGCGGGGTTAAAGCGCAGAGCGGGAGCGATTGAGAGCGATCAGAGCCCTTTGTCCCGGCCCTGCAGCCCCTGCAGACTCATTCCGCACAGTCTGTCTCCCTCGCACCCTTGCGGGGCCTGCGGGCCGCGGGCAGCCCCTCGAGTGCAGAAGAGAGACAGAGCGTCTTGCCTGCCGGGCCCGGCCGCCCGGCCTCAATGCCCCGGTCGCTTGCAAACCATTTATACTCTCGACTGGCGGGCAAAGCAAGGCGCAGCCTCGTGCAGGGATGGGAGGCTTGCCCTGCACAGTGGGCCAGAAGGCCGGTGGACGCGGTTCAAAATCAAGACGCGTTTTGAGCTCCAGAGTCGCTAAATGGGACTCGAACCGAACGTGTGACCCCACCAATGGATTGCTCTCCGAACGAGGAATCCATTGGTGGGGTCACACGTTCGGTTCGAGTCCTGTTTAGCGACTCTGGCGCTCAAAACGCGTCTGGAGTCTTGGACGCCTGCTTCAGCCTCAGGGGGTTATTTCTTTCCTTTCCCGACGACGCGAGGCTTCGAGGCTTCTTGGTACTGAAAGCGTGCGCCCCTCCGTCCCTCCTTGAGCGAGCAGCGAGTTCACACGTGCACTCTGTGTCGCAACACCCTTCGACGGGCACCACACTAGAAGCTCGAGACGTTAATGCACACGGGGCAAAGGTACGCCGGGCAGTCCATTAGTAAACACACTCTCCGTCTCACTCACACACATGCAGAGGGTGAGTATTACCACACATTCGCGAGTCATTAGGACCCCACCCCACCGCGAAAAAGCGAAAATGGCGAAGGGCAAACGCCACATGTGAGTGAATGTTTCCACTTTGACACGTCGCAGAGTGCTGCATTGTGGGAAATGGCTGGCGGGCGTGTGCAGCGTGCAGTGTACACACACCTCCTACACTGCAAGGGGTGCACCAGGACGTCCACGCCGCCTGCAGTCGGGCAGGCGGGCCGCACGCCGTCTTGGCTGCCAGTTGGGTTGCCTACCCGCGCAGGCTGGAGCCGCCGCACAGTGGGCCAGAAGACCGGTGGAAGCGGCTGAAACTCCAGGCGCGTTTTGAGCTCCAGCGCTAAACGCCACTCGAACCGAGCGTGTGACCCCACCAATGGACTCCTCGTTCGGAGAGCAATCCATCGGTGGAGTCACACGTTCGGTTCGAGTCCCCTTCAGCGACTCTGGAGCTCAAAACGCGTCCGGGGTTTCGGACGCCTCCACCGGTCTTCTGGCCCACTGTGCGGCTCTCGCTGGACGCTGGCTGGACGGGGCGGGGAAGTCCCACGTCCCGCCGCGGCAGAGTGACCGGGGCGCGACTTTCACCCGCAGTGTGGGGGGGGGTCGGTCCACATATTACGTAACACGCCGGCTTTTATTTGGGGCCGGCGGAACGGCGGTGTAACACTGCGCCGCGCTGCGCTAAGCCGACCAATGAGTGGAGGCGCGGTCGAGGAGGCGGGCGGCTATATTGAGTTCACTCAGTCGGTGGCAACGAGAGGGTGGAGGGGAGGGGGGGGGAGTTGGCGCGGGTTTGGTTGCGGTGTGGAACTCCCCGGACGGGGCCTCGCCCGCCGGGCCGCCGCCGGGCCGGGGCAGAACGCCAGAAAGCGCTAACAGTAGATCGGCCCTCCGTCCGCCCCGCCCCGCCCCGCCACAGGCGCAAGCATCGAAGCCCCGCCCCCAGATGAAAATGGACCTCTTCGCGATGTAAGTTGTCGAGGATGTGGCCTGGATCTCGCAAGTTAGTGGTGCAGCTCTTCCCGACACCAGGGAGTGTACTAGTGAAGTTGTTCTTTCCACGAGAGATGTGCTAAAAAAAGTGGAAAGCTGTCTGCTCCGCACGATTGACCCCCGAGATATTTTTCATTTCCTGTCGCGTTTTTATTTGCATGCGAGTGGGTTTGTGTGTGTGTGTGTGTGTGTGGGTGTGTGTGAGGGTGTGTGTGTGTTTGTTGGGTAAGCCGAGTGCTGGTAGCAGTCTTCAATGGCCGGACTTCCCGGGCTGGCCTCTCGGCTGGCCCGAGGCGAGGCGGGGTGGGGCGGGGTGGGGCGGGGCGGGCGGGGCGGGGTGGGGTGGGGTGGGGCGGGGGCGGGGGGGGGGGGCGGGGCGGGGCGGGGCGGGGGGGGCGGGGCGCGGGCGCGGTTCCGCTGGCACACGACATGGCTTTGGAATACCCCTCATCACCACAACAGCGGGGAAAAAGTTTTGACCGCAGCGCGCGCGTCTGCACCTAATGACCCGCAGGTCTAATTTATTTCGACAGTGTGTGAGTGTGTGTGTCTGTGTGAGTGAGTGAGTCTGTGTGTGCGTGTGTGAGCACGGGCTATCGTGATGCAATCCGAGTAGCGCTCCGCATTTTTGTGTGCCATTCCACGCGCTGAAACAAACCTCTTCACCGCATGCGATTTTTATTTCCAAGTGTGGATGTTGCGATTGATCTAGATTGCTCCGTCTGTGTGTGTGTGTGCCTGTGTGTGTCCCTCCCCCACCCCCGTCTGGCCCGCTCGCCCCGCAGCCCCCGCACCCCTCGTCTTGATATGGCAGCCGCAGTGTTTGCCTTCTCCTTGGCTGGCTTCAATTTTCTGCCGAATAAAAGATGAACAAGTTAATGAAACCCTGGTTCCTGGTTTGGCCCATCATGCAGTGTACCGCTGCCGAGCGGGTCCATCGCGACCTCGCCACCGGGATCACGCTGTTCGAACTGAACGTGTGACCCCACCAATGGATTCCTCGTTCGGAGAGCAATCCATTGGTGGGGTCACACGTTCGGTTCGAGTCCCATTTAGCGACTCTAGAGCTCAAAACACGACTAGAGGTTTGTCCGCCAAAAGGGAGCGAAATTCGAAACATGATCGCGGCCCTTTTCTTCCAGTGGAGAGGAAACGAACAGGACGGGGAGGAGGAGGACGAGGACGACGAGGAAAAGAAGCCGATTCAAGTATCTCCAGGCAATTCGCGTATTTGCCCTCCAATGTCGGACCGAACTGGGTAATCCTCCGAAATGAAACCTGCGGCTGCTACGTAGTCGGGGTGGGCCTGGAGGGGCGGCGGGGGCGGCGGGGGCGGTGAGGGCCCTTCACCGCCGACACTCATCCAAGCTCGGAGGCATGCCGGAGGCGGCGCCACGGACTCCCTGGCCATCTGCACCACGACCACCGCGACCACGACGCAGACCACGACCACCACCACCGCGACCCACAAGTGTGCCCACAGTGGGCCAGAAGGCCGGCGGAGGCGGCTAAAAAGTCCAGACGCGTTTTTAGCTCCAGAGTCGCTAAACAGGACTCGGACCGAGCTTGCGACCCCACCGAAGGATTCCTCGTGCGGAGAGCAATCCATTGGTGGGGTCAAAC